GATATTTTGACGAGCAAAATGCCACTCTGGCTAAACTTCATATCTTTGTTAGTTGTCCTCAGAGGTATTATTTTCACTTCCAAAGAGATGGGGTTTTCAACTGTTTATGTGCTTACCTACAAGAGTTCTTATTAAACAGCCTTTCTTTCTTGGTGTCCAATCTGAGGTCCAGTTGGTGGAGTCTGGAGGGGATGTGAGAAGACCTGGGGAGTCCCTCCGTCTCTCCTGCCAAGCCTTTGGATTCACCTTCAGCAGCTATGACATGAACTGGGTGAGACAGGCTCCAGGAAAGGCACTGGAATGGATTGCAACAATAAAATACAATGCAGGAGAAATCTACTACTCTGACAAAGTGAAGGGACGCTTCATCATCTCCAGAGACAATGCCAAAAGCCAGCTGTATCTTCAAATGAACAGCCTCAAACCAGAGGACACGGCTGTATATTACTGTACGAGAGACACAATAAGAGGAAGTGAATCTGTAGCAAAGCAAAAACTGCCCATTTGACCCAGCAGCTCTACAAATTTATTTTGCAATAAAAATGCAGATTTATTCATTAGGATTCTTCCTTCACGGTCTTCATCTTGCAGTCCAAACTTCTTCTTTTTATACCCATCTAATGAGTCCCTCAATTTCACTTTCAGTAGAGGTTGATATTTACTCGGTTCACTCATTCTTCCTCCCTCGTTTCACTATGTACATTTTCTTTGGACTCAAACAGTGTATTATTATTATTTTTATTTTAATCTTAGGATTCTACTTCCTCCTGTCACTTCAGGAACTTTTTTTTTTTTAACTTTTCCATCACATTCTGCTGAGGTACTTACTCAGTTTTTCCATTTACTTTTCTTACCTCTTATAGTTCCTGGACCAGCACTGGACCACGGCATGCCAACAACCGGTCCGCACACAAAATCACAACCTCTGTTATAGTGGATCCAATTTCCCTTCTGTAAATATATGTTCACTACTATAAATTAGACCACACACACACACACACACACACACACACACTGTTCATTTAAATATCTATCATTCAATCTATTTGTTGCAATAATTCCTTGAAACATAATCCTATGAGGTCTCCAAATTCTCCAGAACAGTAACCTTCCCAAGGCAATCAGACAACAGCTTTGCTTTCTCGGTCAACATGATTTGATCTTCAGGAGTTCAACCATGCCTTCCCAGGACTTAATTCCTATCTTTCAATGCAAGCATCTCCCTGGAGAACCAGCCCTGCTTTTGTTTATCATGCACACCAGAGGGCAATGTTGTCCCACATAATCAGATTGATCATGGGGGGAGGGGAAGGGAAATAAAGCCAGAATTTCCTGGTGAGGTTTCAATTTTGTTGGCTTGAAAATTGGTAGAGATGGTCCCATGTCAAAACCAACTCCTCAAGAAGTGACTGTTCTCTCCTCAAAACCATGGATAGAGTCACTGTTGTACTCTTTACCATAACATAAAGGAAACTGTTATTTTGGTGGGATGGCCATGAGGTGACATATTCAAGTCTCCCAAAGAAAATGTTCCATTCTAAAATTATTTCCTGAAAGTGACTTTTTTTTGGTTATGACATGAAACTTTGTTCTCTAGAAATCTTTCCTGCTGAGCCTGCATCAAATTAATTCTGTTTGCTTTAACAAACCATGATAGCTTATCCTATGGCCTTCCACACTGTCATTATATGGCTCATATATGCTTCCGTATGAGTGCATCTGCACATGTTAGCTTTGAGTGTTCATTCTAGAAACACTTTTCTAATTTGTAGATGCTTCACCATCTCCAAAAACCAATTTTACTAGCAAGTGAACTATTTGAAATCAGAGGACATAGCAAATAATTTCACAGTTTTTGAAAAACCACATGCATAAAGTCTGTGCAAAGTAATATGTAACCAAATGATCTTCTAGGTTCTTTTATCCCAAGAGATATGTAAATTGAGGAACAATTTCCCCTATAAGAAAGCCCTATGATCCCTTTTCAGGTTATACCCACCAACACAAAACTTGAGCACTTTCCTAGATCCTTTCCTATCAATGCCCTCCATTCATTAAGGGGGAGCAAAAATGATCCTGTGGGTAAATTTGGTGTCCTTTCTAGCAGTCCTCAGAGGTATTTCTTTCCTGCCTATTCAGTTTCATTTCCTTTTAATTCTTCTATACAGGAAAGCTCACTGGAATTCCTTTTACTTTAGGTGTCCAATCGCAGGCACAGTTGGTGGAGTCTGGTATAAAAAGAGCTCACTCAAATTCCTTTCATTTTAGGTGTTCAATCTCAGAACCAGTCTGGAGGTGACGTGAGAAGCCCTGGAGGGTCCCTCCATCTCACCTGCCAAGGTTCTGGATTCACCTTCAGCAGCTATGACATGAACTGGGTGAGACAGGCTCCAGGGAAAAGACTGGAATGGGTTGCACGCATCTATACTGATTCCAGTGAAAAGTTATACTCAGACAAAGTGAAGGGACGCTTCACCATCTCCAGGGACAATGCCAAAAGTCAGCTGTATCTGCAAATGAACAGCCTCAAAGCTGAAGACACGGCAGTCTATTACTGCGCGAGACACACAGTGAGAGGAAGTGAATCTGAAGCAAAGCAAAAACTGCCCATTTCACTTAGCAGCTCTGCAATTTTTTTGGAAACCTTAGAATTCTTAGTATATGTTGCATGCCTCCCTTGGTCATCTTGTACTCCAATGAGCACTAATCTCACACCACTGCAAGGGTGGAGCAAGGCTTGGAAATAAAACTATTGTGTACAAATTGTATCTCGTTTCCAAAGTAGACTTTTTTTTATCTGGGATGCTTAAAATTCACCAAATATACCTCAAGACAATATCACTTCTCAAGAGACCACCATCTGCTCCATAAAGCTGTATCTGAGTTCAAAACAGATGTTTCTGGCTAACTGCATCTAAAATTTCTGCCGAGCAGGAAATCTCACATTCACATTTTTTTCATTTTTCATTTTTCATTTTTGGACTACTGAGAGAGTGTCCAACATGAAGTTAGGATGTGATTGCTTTGGTTTGACCTTGCAAATTGGTGGGAACTCAAATTCTATGCTTTGCAAATTGTGATTTAAATCATACTTAATTCATGCTTTCTCTTTGTTACTTAGAACCAGTTTCTTTAGCCTTTACCCAAAAGACATTCCTTAAGCTAATTTAACGTAAAATCCAGTATAGTACTCACAATATATTTTTAAAAGAAAAAGCTTCATCCTAGCTAGCTAGCTAGCTCGCTAGCTAACTAACTAACTAACTAACTAACTAACTAACTAACTAACTTATTTCCCCTCCAATAACCTCAGCCCAGACCACATATTTTCCCTGCTGGACCTCTGCTTGACCACCATTTATTTTAAATACAATGAAGGTTTCTACAGACAAAATACATGGATGCACCATGGGTGCACGTTTGTCCCTCATTGTGGCCAACCTCTACATACAAGAAGTAGAAACCAAAATCCTAAACGCCTTCACGGGAATTCCACCCACTCGGTGGGTTTGTGGATGATACTTGGGTGAAAATTAAAACACAAGAAGTAGAAGCCTTCACCAAACACATCAACTCTATGGAGAGATACATTGAGGTCACAAAGGAAGATGCTAATGAAAAGAGTCTGGCTTTCCTGAACTGTGCAGTACACAATGAGGATACTTTTTAATACCTACTGATATGTAAATCAAAGCACAATTTCCCCTTTAAAGGAGGCAGTTGGTTTTCTTTTTCAGGCTACACCCATCAACACAAAGTTTGTGCACTTCCCCAAATTCTTTGCCATCACTTATCTTCCAATCTTCTACAGGGAGCAAGAATGATCCTGTGGCTAAACTTGTTATTCTTACTAGCAGTCCTAAAAGGTAACTGTATCCTCCCTATAGAGTTTCTTTCAATTTTAATTCTTGTATAAAAAGAGCTCACTCAAATTCCTTTCATTTTAGGTGTTCAATCTCAGAACCAGTTGGTGGAGTCTGGAGGTGACGTGAGAAGCCCTGGAGGGTCCCTCCGTCTCACCTGCCAAGGTTCTGGATTCACCTTCAGCAGCTATTACATGATCTGGGTGAGACAGGCTCCAGGGAAAGGCCTGGAATGGGTTGCACGCATCTATACTGATTCCAGTGAAAAGTTATACTCAGACAAAGTGAAGGGACGCTTCACCATCTCCAGGGACAATGTCAAAAGTCAGCTGTATCTGCAAATGAACAGCCTCAAAGCTGAAGACACGGCAATCTATTACTGTGCGAGACACACAGTGAGAGGAAGTGAATCTGAAGCAAAGCAAAAACTGCCCATTTCACAAAGCAGCTCTGCAATTTTTTTGGAAACCTTAGAATTCTTAGTATATGTTGCATGCCTCCCTTGGTCATCTTGTACTCCAATGAGCACTAATCTCACACCACTGCAAGGGTGGAGCAAGGCTTGGAAATAAAACTATTGTGTACAAATAGTATCTCGTTTCCAAAGTAGACTTTTTTTATCTGGGATGCTTAAAAAGTCACCAAATATACTTCAAGACAATATCACTTCTCAAGAGACCACCATCGGCTCCATACTAACTAACTAACTGACTGACTGACTGACTGACTGACTGACTGACTGACTGACTGACTGACTGACTGACTAACTAACTAACTAACTAACTAACTAACTAACTAACTAACTAACTAACTCCCCTCCAATAACCTCAGGCCAGACCACATATGTTCCCTGCTGGACCTCTGCTTGACCACTACTTATTTTAATACAATGAAGGTTTCTACAGACAAAACACATGTCTGCACCATGGGTTCACATTTGTCCCCCATTGTGGCCAACCTCTAAACAGAAGAAGTAGAAACCAAAGTCCTAATCTCCTTCAATGGAATTCCACCCACTCAATGGGTTTGTGGATCATACTTGGGTGAAAATTAAAACACAGCAAGTAGAAGCCTTCACCAAACACATCAATTCTGTGGACAGGGACATGAAGTTCTCATGGGACATTCCCTCTTAAGAAAAATAGTCTGGCTTTCCTGGACTGTGCAGTACACAATGAGGAGACTTTTTATACCTACTGATATGTAAATCAAATCACAATTACCCCTTTAAAGGAGGCAGTGGTTTTCTTTTTCAGGCTACACCCATCAACACAAAGTTTGTGCACTTCCCCAAATCTTTTGCCATCAATTCTCCTCCAATCTTTACAGGGAGGAAAAATGATCCTGTGGTTAATCTTGGTGTCCTTACTAGCAGTCCTCAGAGGTAATTTCTTTCTATCAGCTGTGTTTCTTTCCATTTTAATTCTTGTATACAGCAGAGCTCACTCAAATTCCATTCATTTTAGGTGTCCGATCTCAGATCCAGTTGATGGAGTCTGGAGGAGATGTGAGAAGGCCTGGAGAGTCCCTCCATCTTTCCTGCCAAGGTTCTGGATTCACCTTCAGCAGCTATCACATGAACTGGGTGAGACAGGCTCCAGGGAAAGGTCTGGAATGGGTTGCACGAATCTATACTGATTCTAGTGGAAAGTTCTACTCAGACAAATTGAAGGGCCGCTTCACCATCTCCAGGGACAATGCCAAAAGCCAGCTGTATCTGCAAATGAACAGCCTGAAAGCTGAAGACACGGCAGTCTATTACTGTGCGAGAGACACAGTGAGAGGAAGTGAATCTGAAGCTTGGCAAAAACTGCCCGTTTCACAAAGCAGCTCTATAAATTCCACTGGAACCTTAGCATGCCACCCTTGGTCATCTTGTACTCCAGTGGGCACTAATCTCACACTGCTGCAAGGGTGGAGCAAGGCATGGAAATAAAACTATTGTGTACAAATAGTATCTCATTTCCAAAGCAGAGCTTTTCTGATCTGGGATGCTTAAAAATCCACCAAATCTACTTCGAGACAATATCACTTCTCAAGAGATAACCATCTGCTCCATAAAGCTATATCTGAGTTCAAAACAGACACTTCTGGCTAACTACATCTGAAATCTCTGTCAACCAGGAAATGTCACATTCTTCATTCTTGGACTACTGAGAGAATGTCCAACATCAAACTATGATGTGATTGCTTTGGTTGATCTTGCAACTTGGTGGGAACCCGAATTCTGGATCTTACAAATTGTGATTTATGCTTTAGTTTGTATGCGGTTAATATGAGTTTCTTCAAAACAAAACCTAGTTAAGAAAACAAAGGTTCTTGATGGGCTTCCGGTGGGACGGCGCGCCGATGGCGGCTCTTTTGGAGCCGTCCGCTTGGGAAGGCGTCAGAGCCAGCCTGAACAGCGGACACCAGCTGTTCAGCGGCTTGGAACCTTGTGCCCCGGGAGAAGGGGTCGAGGTGAGTACTCCCGGATAGGAGTAGAGCCCCAAAAGCTCTCCCTTAATTTAGGGAGAGCGAAAATTGGGTGCTCCTCCAGAGTCCGGGAACCTCCGTCTCCCAAATGCCTTTGCTCCCTTTTTTTGGGGAGCGAAGCGAGTCGTTGCCTCCACCTCCGCGAATTATAGAGACTTGTGAGTAATAATAAGCAGACGGAATTGCCCGGGGATACTAGACTTTGAGCAATTTAAGACTTTAACTCAATTTTTTAACATCTTCCCTATTGAACTGGGGGAAAAAAGAGAAAAAAGATGGCTGCGGTTTGCCTTTCTTCAAAGTGAGAGTGATTTTTTCTCTTTTTTTTTTTTAACTTTCACTTTCCGGTGGAGCTGAATGAAGAGGGAAATTGTTACCCCTTGTAACATTGATATGGAAAGCTTTAGTGATTTCTTTTTCTTTTTCTTTTTTAATGGAAAGAACTTTGGATTTGGATTTTGGATTTTTCCCCCCTTTTGTTTCCGAAGCTGTGCTTAAAGAAGTTTGAAAAATGGCTTTGCTTAATGGAACTTCCGCCTTGTTGAAAGATTTTCAACAGTTTAAATCTGAAGTTAATTTTTCTTTAATTTTATTGATGGTTTCACTTGAATACTTACAAAAAGTTTTGAAACAAATTAGAGAGAAATCTGAAGATTTTTTGGAAAGGGAATTACAAGGATTTTGTCAGAACATATCATTTGCTTTGTATGGTATTGCAGAGGCCAGGATGGAGGGAAAAATGGAGCCTGTAAAAGCTGAAAGTGGACTGACAAAGACTCAAGAAGAAGATTTGGATTTTAAGGAAGATAACTGGAAGGACTGGCGGCAAAAGCGGAAACTGGATTGGAAACATTTAAAGAAATTTTATAAGGATACAGAGAAGAGGTGGTGATGGACTCAGTTGTGACTTTGGGATGCAATTTTAAAGAAATACTTATAAATGGAAAATTATAGTATTGCATATTAGGAGAAGCAGCTGAGGGATTTTTTAAGAGTATCTTGTGATCCAATAATACAGGGTATTTTTGTTTGAGATATTAAGAGATTAATTTTAAAATTTTTGGGAGAAGGAGATGGGATCTGGTGGAGGTGTGGATTCAAAAGGGATTTTTGAAGAGATGCTATTTTTGATGTGATTAATCAATATATTATAAAATGTTACTTTTGATATGATATACTGATAAGATGATATATCTGACTTTGGGATGTAACTTTAAAGAAACACTTATAGAAATGGAAAATTATAGTATTGTATATATTATTGCTTATTTCTTAAGAGTATCTTGTGATGTAATAATATGGGGTATTTTTGCTCGAGATATTAAGAGATTAATTTTGGGGAAAAAATTTTTTTGGGAGGAGATGGGATATTCTGGTGGAGGTGTGGATTCAAAAGGGTATTTTGAATTTTAGTGGTTAAGAGATGCTATTTTTGATGTGATTAATCAATACTTTGGGATGTAATTTTAAAGAAATATTTATATGATTAAAAGGGTTCTGAATCTTAGTGGTTACTTTAGTTACATGGTAACTGGCATTAATTAATATTGTGGGATGTAATTTTAAAAGTGTTCTGAATTTTAATGGTTATTATGGTGGAGTTGTGGAAAATTATAGCATTGTATATTAAGGGGTAGAGGGATTATTGTTTATTATAAAATGTTACTTTTGATATGATATACTGATAAGGTGATATATAATTGGTGATTGAAAGCTAAGAATTGAAGAGAAGGCAAAGTTTTTTTTTTTCTTTTTTTATTAAGATTAAGGGATTGGTGAAGATGGATTGGTTTTATGTAGACAGATTATTGTAGTTTATATTTGATTATTTTTTTTATGAGTTAAAGTATGTTTATATTAGATTAGTTTATATTGGGTAGTTTTATATAGACTTAGGAAGATGAGTGTTTAATCCCGTAATCAGTTCTGGGAAGTCTGGGGGGGTTGGGGAAAGGGATTTCTTATGTATTTTGGTATACTAGAATGGTAGTGAGATAAGAATGGAGGCTCGGATGACCTCCAGGAACACATTTGGAAGAGGAGGAGGGAAGGAGGGGGGATGTGTAGAGTAGAGTGGTTGAGAGGGTGGAGAGGAAGAGGGAAGGAGGTAGAAGGAAGGAGGAGGGAAGTAGGTTGGAGAGAGGGAATGTGGTCCTGTGAGGCTGTTGAGCATTTTAGAATAGGAGGTTTTTTAGTACAAGAATGGAGGCTC